TATATGTCAGTCACGCGTGGTTAAAACATGTTGTAGCAAACAACTTACTGCATAGCCCAGTAACGTAACATTCTGTTACGAAGTAACTTACCATCCAACAAATCCGTGATTCAGTCCAATATATAAACGTAATTAAATTAACTAATTAATTTAATTAATTAATTAATTAATTTAATTACATTAAAATAAGATGACATTACAACATAGCATAACACAGCATAACATGACAAGATAACATTATAGCATACACTAACATTACATGATAACATAACATAACATAGCATAGTAACATTGTAAGATAACACGTTGCAACAGTTGGTTACAACTAATCGTACGATTGTGGAATGAAAGATCATCAGAGCTTTTCTTGCTGTAGGTTACACACACAAGCAGGTGGGAAAATGTTAACTTTCGATTCGTGTTAGTGCGACAAAAATTGTCACCCAATTTTTTATTTATTTATTAAAATAAAAAAAATAATAACAATAATATTATTATTATAAATAATAATCATATTCATCTTTGTCATAATAAAAATAATTATTATTGTGGCATATTTATAATATAGGGCTACTTAATAATAGGAATTATTATTCTTATTATTATTATTATTATTATTATTATTGTTGTTATTATTATTATTTTTAAAACGTCACAATTTTTGATTGTTCGTTGATTTGTTGATGTCCAGCCAAGCATGTTTTTGAAAGTACATAAGGGGAGGTATGTGATTGATGGAAGGTGCTGAATGAAAGAAAGAATATAAAATATTTCGCAAGATGATGTTTCGCGTGGGTCGAAGAAATGAAAAATATGAACGAGGTGGATGGATGGATGGATGAGTGGATAGATGGATGGATGGATGGATGGATGGATGGATGGATGGATGGATGGATGGATGACTAAATGGATGGATGGATGACTAAATGGATGGTTCCATTGTATGATGGATGAGTTGTTGATGGACGGATTAATAAATTGTAAAATGAATGAATGGATGATTTGAATGATGGAATTATGTATTGATTTGATGGATAAAACGCGATGGAAGGATGAATATGACAGATGAATAAATGGAGGGAGGAAGGATTAAGTGTTCGGCCCTGTTCTGCATAGTCTTCTGATCAATAAATGGGTTCAATGGAAATGGAAACGCCGTTACAACCATTCGTGCTGCTATTTTTTATTTTTTCAAAAAATCTAATTAAAAAAATAAAATTTAGACGAAATCATTCAAATTAATCCCTAATTTAGAAAAAAAATTTTGGTTCGCAAACGTGAAACAAAGGATATTTGAATAAAATTTTAAAAGAATTACGAAAGAATTTTTTGCTAATTAAACACAGCACTTTTTTAGGATAAAAAGTTGAATTACCTTTTTCACTAATATTAAATGAGGTTTCGGGAGTTTTTCTCAATCAAATCTGTCTTCGTTTTCAATCATTCAGATCAGTTGCATATTGGCATCACGCCAATTTTGTAAAATCAAAAAGAGTCAAGTCAGGAAATGAATGAATTGGTAAAATCATAAAATAAATATAACTTGAACTATAAAAGCAATAAAAAAATAACAGAACTAAAGAGATATAACCTACTCTGGCTGGTGGTACCGTTTGAGATGAATGATGAACGTTAAGAAATAAATAAGAAACTGTATTTCAAAATGTTGAAAACGAAAAGCCAGATGATTATATATCTAGTCATGAAACAAAATATTAGTAACATTCAGAACCGGATTTAGAAGTCTAGTGGCCCTAGGACAAGGAGTTTTGGAGGTCTCTTATAATTTTCTATTAATTATAAAAAATATTCCATCAAGTTTTTAAAAATTTATTGCCAACAAATAACGTTATTTCAACAAAAATATTTGCTTACAAATATTTTCATTTTTTAAAAGAATACATTTTGTTGAAATCCAAATAATCGCATTAACTTAACGGGCTCTTTGGAACAAAAGTCTTTGATGATTTCGCCAAAATCAAACTCCCGTAGTAATTCGTTTTCAATGCTAAATAAGGTTAGTCAGTTTTCATACATCAATATAACATTAATAACAATTGAAACTAATTTGATCTAAATATATAAATAAATAAAGAGATTCAAATAACAGCGTATGAATGATTGTGATGTGATAACAGTGTTGAAAAATAATTTTAGTGTTGAAAACGCCATGAAAAACACAATAGAGAAATAAGAAACGTGGCTTAAATATACCCAGCACACCCTACAATGGGCCGAAACGGCGGAAAGTGCAAACAAAAAGTCACTACGATGTTCGGATAGGTTTTCTTTTTCACTTCATTTTGCCAAATAAATTGCATTGTAATGGGTGCAATAATTTATTTAAACATCTAATTTAATTTAAAAATCACGTAATTATACGTTGAAATTAAAGTAAAAAGTATATGAGAGAAATATTTAAAGGATTAGAATAAACAAAATAAACAAAATCACCATAAACAAAATAACTGTTATTCGCTAGGTTTCCCGTTCCTTTGTACGTGTGCAATATTTGAAATATGCGACAGTCCACGCAGACCTCACGCCACCCACCCACCTAACAATTGGTTTTAAGAAGATTAACCACCTGCCTAATTCACCTGTTACATTCTAAAATCTGGCACTTCAATTTTTTAATTTTATATTTACCGGAGCAAAAATCAACTTTCTTTTGTAACATAAGTGTTTCTTATTCAGTTTTGTTTTTATCGATTTTCATCAAATAATATAACTAAAAAGTGGAGAAATAAACCCGAGTTAGTGTAGGGATTTATCAATAATTGTCATTGAAATTTCGTTAGATGATGTAAAACTTTCTATAAAAAACTTTCTATTTCTATTCGAATGATGTCACTACCGACTATTACTTTAAAAGTTAATGAGATACTACAATGCAAATCTGATTGAATGAATCATATATCCTAATTTATTAGAGTAGACATATGTTAATTAAATACAACTTTGGTCATATTTTGACAGTGAATTCGTTATCCAGTGTGCTTTATAAAAATATCAAACAGTATAAAACACACGAGCCATATCAAGACCGTGTAAAATTCACTTATCAGATTTGTGCACATTACGTTGTTAAATCTTTTTCTCGAGTTTCGCCATATACATAGTTGTAAGCTTTTGTTAGAGAAAGCTCACTTAGCTATAATTTCGATGCACGGCAACCTCTCAAATATTTTAAAATCTTATCTTGTATCATCCTAGCTTAGTCTGGATGAACGAGTGTATATACATATTTTAAAAGCAGTAGTGTTAGAATATGCTAAAGTATTTGTTCATTTGTTTTGTAGATCATTGTTGACTGACTACAAAAATAGACGGTAATTAAATTTACAGTACACGGAAAATAAAAAATCAAAATGAAAGTAACGCCGAGTTAGCAGCATCTTCTTTGTTTGATGCATTATACATACAATTGAATTTTAAATATACTTTGTACTGGTATGCCTTTTTTTATCATACCACCTATGCGATAATCTCCATTGTGATATAATTTAGATATGGTCATTTCCACACAAACATATTTGCCCAACAACTTCGGGAAAGTAGTTTCTCCCTCCTTTCATATTCCAATATGATCAACCTAACGTGGCGACGGGCATGCCCGTCGTTCTGCAGTTAAGCAAGCTTATGTGCAACTATCTTCAAATGACGTCACAGTTGTTTTCTCTAGCTAGCCTGTGTAAATTAATATCAGGTAAACATAATCTAGCGTGAAATGATTAATCAGCATATGCTAGTAAGACATAAATAAAGTCACACAACGAAAGCAGCAGCAACAACACGGAGCTATGTTATGAATGATATGAATCAATTGAGAATATCTGACGTTAGCAAATCGGAGTAGAATTTGTAGCTAATTGATGAGAACCAATGAGATCTCGTGTATGTAGGTTAGTAGGAGGAGTTACGTTGTGATGGACAACCTGGAAAAGTATGTTCGTATAAAAGGCGAGTTGAGGCGGTGTGTGAAAAATTACGTTGGATGTCGTCGCCTTGGTTTTTTTTTGAATTGTTTCGTTCATTGCTCACATACGTTTCCAAGTTCTGTTTTTTCAATTAAAGTTATTATAATTATTTAATTTAATTTTAAATAGTTAATCAAATTATTTTTTCGTCTTTCCGTTTGTTTTCTTTCGTTTTTGAAATTTCCAAGAAATCGGTCAGTTCCATTTTTAATTTTTTTCCATTATGACATTAAATTTGAAATAGAAAAACTAAAAAGTAGTAATTATTAATTAATAATCAGTTACCATTTTAACTCTTTATATTTTTTTAATTCCAATTAATCATTGATTGTAATTGTATATCCAGTTATTAATTAATTTGTTAATTAATAATTAATTACTAATAATTTTAATTTAATTAATTGTTTAATTTAATTAATAAGATATAAGAAAGACCTATGAACTTTACGGTTTACGCTGTTAGTGTTGTTAATCAGCTAACTAAACATTAAAAAACTAACTAAATTGGTGTTTAACTTTTTTTTATCATCACTTTCTTTATCTTATTTATTAAACTATTAAAATTAAAGAAAACAATATAAATTTCAGTTTCATTTTTAAAAATTAAAGACCATGATAACAACTAAACAACAGATTGATTAACTTGTTTTTATTTTCATTGAGTGCTTTTTAGCAACAGAAATTATTAATTAATAAACATTGGTTAACTTGTTTTTATTTTCATTGAGTGTTTTTGTAGTAACAACATTATTCATTTTGCTTGTACCTTCTACTTTTACAAAGTAGAAATTGTGATAATGCAGATAATAATACAAAATACTGCTAATGAAATAATAATTTGGTACTATTTTGAAATTTTAATGTAATAGTAAAATCAATTATCTTATGACTTATGCATCATTTATCAGCAAGTTAAATTAAGATTTAAAAAGCATATGTTAATAAAATAAACTGTTAGTTTCTGATCTCTAAATTTAATATGGTTTCAAATAAGATTTTAATTTATTTGTTGATTCAGCTATGGTGATGCTGGCAAACTCCGGTGCTACAGACTTCATGATGGGTCGATCGAGAGTGTGCAGAAGGCTGACTTTTGATAGTGACACAGATCAGAGGTCAATGAAATCTGGCATTTCAGATGAATCCAAACACAATTTGAGCATCAGCCTTAGAAGATCTTTCCATGAAAGTTTCACAACGATAATGAAGCAGAAAAAAGAACGTTGGAATTTTGATTTTGAAAATGAAGTTCCTTTGGATGGTAGATATCAATGGGTGTTTGTTGGCAATGACAGCTGTAATAGGAATGATGCTTTTAATTGCACTGCCACCTTAAATGACAGTATATCATCATCCTCATCATCACCATTTTCTGACAGTTCTTTATCAACATCTACTGACTCCACATCATCAAATTCCTTCAACAATGAAAATATAGATTACCCACACTTCGGTAAAATAAGAAACAAGAGATTCCGACAAACCATACTTAAAGGTGTGTTATATTTTTGTGTTTCATACAATTAATAGATTTTTTAATATACTAAAACCTGCTTGTTGTTAAAAAGTTGCTTCAGTTGTTAATCACATGGTGTACTGCATGCCTAGATGCTATGTTAATGATCTCATGTAAACACCAGTTCATGTAAACATGAGTGTGATCACATCAGCATTCATTCAATGTGCTAGCTAGTACTTCAATTCTGTAAACTTCCATGGGGAAAAATAATGTTTTACATGGGTAATACTGCTGTTTTTTAATTTCTGAATTAATATTAAGTATCAAAGTGTGAACAAAATTTTTAAAAGGCTTTTGTAGTCATACTTTAACATTTTTTTCACATAACTTTCAGATTTTAATTTATTATAAATACCATTATGTGTTTGTTTGTTCATTCATTCATTTATTTATTTGCCTGCCTTTTCACAGTCTTTTATATTTTATTTAAATTTAATTAACTTTTAAATTTTGTAACTTGAATGATGTGTGAATGTTTGGTTGGGTTTTTTCCATAACAGTTATTAGATTAAGTTCAGAAATTGTTAAAATTTGTATTCTGTATTGAAATGTTATCATGGATGTTTTTGAATTCATTTATATGAGAAGAAAAGAAATTATAGAATGAGTTGTTGATAATAATTATTTTTGAAATGGTCAGACCTCCTTATATCGAACTTCTTTCTATACAATGAAAAACAAACTTTTAAATGCTACTTGTAGTTTTATGAAACTGTTGAAACATATGAAACTGTTTTTGTAGAATGAAAATAATTTCTCTATGACCAACACAATTTTTAAATGTTAAAAGAAATATTCGACAATTTAAAAAAAAAATATTTGTTGAACATAGTAAACTGTAAAATACATTTTACATGTTACATTTTTGTTACATTACATTACATTACTGTAAGTTAATTTTTGCATTACGGTTTTATGTATTATGCTTTTTGCTATGTGCCTACATTTAATGTCTATACATATTATGTTGTTTTTCATATTTTTTGCAATTATGCTATATATTATTACATTTTGTTATAAAAATAAATGATTAAAATGTTGTTTTTTATAAATATATAGCATATAAACATTTCTTAACTTAAGCAATATGGAATTTTTTCCCACACTAATTCTATATAACCAAATTTCTATAAAGCAAATATTTTTCCTGGAACCATCAAGTTTATAGAAAGCTGTATGTATTATTTTCATTTACAGTAATTAATTAGCTGATAGATATTGATGGTTTATACTTTATTAAACATAATAAATATTTAAATCTAATGTGCAGTTGGGAAGCTTAGAAACATAAGCTATGACTGGGTAAGGCATCTGTCTTGTATATTATATATATAAACTTTTACAATCTGTTTGAGGTTCATATTATTTTCCTATTTCCCAAAATTTTTACTGCCAAAGTTTGTTATTTCAAATTTGTGACCTTAATGGAGCAAGAACATTGGTAATTGTATTGAATGTGATAAGTAAGTTCACATGTATCTAAATCACAAGTGCACATAAACCCTGGATATCTTCAAGCAGCCAACCCTAGATCTTCATTAATACAACAACAACTACTATGACTCATAATTCTTTACTTTATCCTTGTATAAATGTTGTATGTGTGTGTGTGTGTGTGTGCGCGGGTTTGTGTTGTGCACATATGATGCACCACTACATTGTATGTGTTATGGGTGCATGTCATATTTCTGTTTGTGTGCGTGTGTGTGTTTTGTATGTTTTGTACATAGAATGCACCACTGTATAGTATTATATTCATGTGTTGGGTCACAATTATTTTGGTTACATTTTACTTGATGGGGACGTTTTGTTGAATTTTTACATATTGTAAGAGTATGTACACGTGAATATGTACAAATGCTTAATGGCTGAATATTATGACTATCATGTTCCTAATATGTTATTCAGGCAAATAAATGTGTGTAGATGTGTTACACTGCAGGCTGTTTTAATCAATTAATTTAATTTATCACAAATACAGGTTAGAGACACTTTTTATATATAGTTGTTAAAACGAAAGATTTGGTCTTCTGCATTTTTATATAAGTCTGACAATTCTGACAAACACACACAGTTCTTATTATTCATTTACTAGTTTAGGTTTCAAATTTTTTAATAAGGTATATATAGATATGTATTTGAATGTGACATATTACATATAGTATGTAATATGTAAAATATGTCAGTATATGTAACTATTTTTTCATATCTGTTATAAATATATATATATATATATATATATATATATATATATATATATATATATACAATTTGTATGTGTTAAATTTTTAAATAACAATCATGAGTTATGGTAGCATCTGGCTTTGTTGGACTACTTATGCTATCTGACTGTCTATCTCCCACTAAAAATGCAAAGAATGTTTTTATTACTCCATGCAATCCATCTTTCTTACTTTTCAAGTGATTCTCAAGATGCATTACTGCATATGGCTACCAACTGGTGAATTGCTTTAAAAATGGTCTCCATGAGCAGTTGTTATGGGAGAGGTCACTGTATATTTATATATATATACATATATATGCTGTGTCAATAAGTAAAATTAAACTAAAGAATATTAAACTATCCACATAGTGCTGTCAACAAACAAAATAAAACTACCCACAACACTAATATTAATAACTGTACTACTACTACTACTACTAAGAAGTATTGTTTGTTTCACTGTAGTTCATTCATTTCAGTTTCATGGCAAATTTTCATTCATTTAGTTTTAGATTGTTTAGATTCATTGTCATTCACTTAGTTTGTTGGTGGGTCACCAGAGTTGCGTTTCTTAGGTTTATTCCTTTTCCTAAGTTGCTTTTGTTATTTTCTGTCTTCTTTTTATTATTTCATTTGTTTCATAACTTTTTTATTTTATTAATGTTGTCTGCTTTGTGGTCTATATCAGTTGTTGTGGTGTTGTATTTGTACCTCTCGTTTGTTTGTGTTAGTTGGCTTGTGTTTGTTGGTTTGTGTTGGTTGGTTTGTTTTTGTGGTTTTTGTCATGCAGTCTTCATTTTCGCGCATGTGTATATTTACACTGGTGTTCATTGTTTTTTTTTACTTTTGTGTTTGTTTCCAAATGGTTAAGGTCTAGTTAGTAATCAATTAAAATAATCATTATTTTAGTGAAGTTTTGGGCATAATTTTTTATCTCTTTTAATTTTTATAATTTTTAAAAAAAAAAATTGTTTCTTAATTGTTAATAACTTTTATAAGTATTAAATTACTAATTATTTATCTGTCTATTACAACAATTTTCTGTCACATTTTTTTAATTAAATTCCCACTGAATCATTTTTATGATAGCAATTATTGGGACAGAAATGTAATTTGATTGGTCAAGCAAACAAATGCAATACAGCAGTTTACATATTTGTGAATGCATTTGTACGTGTGTGTGTGTGTGTGTGTGTGTGTGTTAGCGTGTGCAGTTGTGCGTCGTTCATTTGTATATGTGCATCTTTGCTGTACAAAGCATGTAACAGAAGCAGGTGCACAATGTCTTTGTTTCAGCAGCTGGGAGGATGATAGGCAGAGGAGATGCTGTGTTGTCCTGTTGTAGTGTGCTGCTGAGGATGTTTTGTTGTGTTGTGGGGGGGGGCGGTGATGGAGAAGAAGCTTGGTGGATTCTATTCATTTTATCAGTTGTTTCATTGAGGCATTTAAATCATTTTTCCGTTTGGAATTCATTTGTTGGACTGTGCTCCACAACATTTAATCACCTTTTAAATTTAATTTCAATAGTAAAACATAACCAAAAAAATGTTGTAAGAGTTATTTAAAAGATATGCGTTAAAAATTTTTAACAAAAGATATCCCGAATGAATATTGGCATAATTTTTTATCTTCATTGTTGGGTATTTTATTAACAATATTTTGTTTTAAATGCTATATAAATTAACTAGAATGTCAAAACAATGTTTTGTAGTGATTTGTTTGTTGTAAATTTATTTTCCTGTGTTGTACAAGCGTGATTCCATACAAACACGCACACACACGTACGTGTAGACATTTATATATACAAACAGGCATACATAGATGCCCTAGCACAACGCAACATATAATGTGCAAGCAGGCTATTGTTGGTGAATGCTTGTCATTTCATTGCATTGCACACTAAAGCTGATGATGATGAATATGATGGTGATAACTATTCAGTAGTAATATTTTCTCATATAAAATTTGAAAAGTTCTTTAGATGACAATTTGGTCAGTTGTCAGTTACATTATTTAGTTATCTTAAATAACTTTTATAATATTTTAGTCTATCTTAATTATTTATTTATAATAATAATAGATGATGACGGCCATGATTTCGTTTCTACTATTTTCACTTTGTCTTTTATTCATTGATTTGTAAATGTTTCTATGGGTGTCTATTGAATTTATGTATTCTGATTCTGTTATTGTTCATTACTTTATATTTCATTATTCCTGTGTTTGTATATATTTATGCATACAATTACATATACACGCTGTTACACACACATATATATATATATATATATATATATGTGTGTGTGTGTGTGTGTGTGTGTGTGTGTGTGTGTATACATGTACACATATAGCTGGTGTATTGATGTACGCATGCCAGTAATTCTTGCATGAAGTGCAACGGTACTGCAGTTTGTTGCTGGCTGTTGATCATTACATTGCATGTGCAATTATCAGGAGATGTAGTAGAGGAGAAAATGTTTGTATGCATGTGCCTATGCAAACACTTGGCATTGCTTCTTCATTTGTTTATTTATTATTTTTTCATGTTTATGCACGCACCTATTTTTCTGGGTTAGGTTTTATAGGATAAAAACAACTGATGCAATTTTTTAGATTTTTTACTTTGTTATCTTCTTGACAGTTTTTTGTTTGTACTTTTGTGTATTAACCTATTTTCCATTGAGAGAAACATATTAATGAATGATTTTCACATAGCATTTAAATTCTCCGTTCTCTAATTATTTATTTTCATAATATTATAATTTATGTACATTTTAAATGTGGCATGTTTTTTGGTCTCTTTACCTTAATGGCTCACTTATTTTTCCATTAGGCTTCTTTTGTTATTGAAGTTATTGTTCAGAATATCATAGAGTTAACTCAATTACAAAAAGCATTATGTTTGAAGATAATGACTTATCAATATAGAAATAGTTCAGAAATTAATTATATCCTGCCTGCCTCATTCCCGCTATTAATTGACAGACTCTCTAGATCTCCTTTTTGTAACATGTGTGTGCTGATGTCGCTCTTTTGTCTTTCTTATTGATATTTATTGTTTGTTGTCAAGTTGTTTTAATCGATATCATTAAGTTCCTCTTATCTGGTTGTTGTGCTTGAGTCTTATGTATATTTGAAGCTTATGTACCATCATCTTATGAACCATCAATTTTATAATACGCATCGTTTGAGTTTTTTTAAAGACACATCATGTTATAAAGTTCTGTTTAACAAAATTTTATATATAAAGTTAAGATTTAATTTTCTTGGTGGAAGCACAAAAAATATTTTTTAAATTGTTTAAAATCGTTTTGGATCATATTGCTCATGCTTTTCATTATTTGTCTGCTTATTTGATTATTTGACTAACCATTATATATAGAAATAGTCTAGTCTAGATTAGCCATACAACAAATTAAAATATTTCATTACATATGTTTCATATTTGCCTGAAAGTTACAGTTAGAGTTTGTATTGTAAATGGACCACTGCAGAGAATAGTATATTACTTTTTCTGCTATTGAGAATGTTCATCAAAATGTAGGCTGTATGTGTTTCTCTGTCTGTCCTTCTGTCTGTCTGCCTGTCTACTGTAAACAATTTGCCTGAAGCTTGCTTGCTGCATTGACTTGACAGACAACATGAAAGTTATGCCTCACCACATGCTAGCATGCTTGCTATTATATACTGCTCTTTATTTATATCAATCTCAAGACTCTGACCAACATTGAACCTGTGCAATTTCCATCACACAAACACATTTATTTACTTTCTGATCCAATTAACTATAAGCTGAACTGAATTTTTCAGCTTAATTTTTAAGGTTTCATCTGTAAATTGGTGAAATGACCTAACAAACACCGAATTAAATTATCTAATGTTTATGCATTTGTGTGACTCTCTTTCTCTCTCTCTCTTGTCTCTCTCTCTCTCTCTCTCTCTCTCTCTCTCTCTCTCTCTCTCTCTCTCTCTGTGTGTGTGTGTGTGTGTGTGTGTGTGTGTGTGTGTGTGTGTAATTTTTCCAATATTGATAATTATTTATTGATATGAAAAATTGAACTGTGGAAGAGCTTATTTATATTATTATCTCTGTTGAAACATTAAATCAAATATTTAAGCTAGGTAAATAACTTAGAATTGTTTGCTGGTTGGCTGATATGCAAGTGTTTCTTTTTGATTCATCATTATTAGGTAGCATTGTTAGTGGTCTGTTTGAAGTTTTATATTTAAATATGTTCATTCATTTGTGTTTCTACATAACCAGGTACATTACTACTAATAACTTCAAGTGTTAATTCTAATAAATTTTTGTTGAAATTTATCAAATGATTAAAAATTGCTCACTATTTCACGATTGTAAATATTTGAGTTAGTTCAGGGTTCTTTTATTAAGTACCTATATTGAAATTATGTTCGTATATTAAATTTATGTATTTGCTTTGAACTCAATGTTTCTTCATCTGTTTTTTCAGATACTAATTTATTTAACATATTATATAATTAATTAGTTAATTAATTAATTTGTTTTCTTTTCAGATTTTTACAAGACGACGAAAAGGAACATATTTTCATCACCATCCAAATCATCATCCTTACCACATCATCATCGAGCTTCATTATCATCGGCGTCGTCATCATCCGTTTTAATTTAATCATCCTAAACAGATTGTTATAAGGTCAGTAACTGTCTTATTTATATTTATCTTATTCAAACTTTTTTTTCATATAAATTTGGTTTCAATTTTTATAAACCAACAACAACCAGAACTTTATATTCTCTCTATTTTTCTCTCCATTTTTGTGTGTGTGTGTTATATGATTTGTAAACAGTAACCTGCTGTAACCACCCACTCATCAATCAGACACTAATGGTGAATTCAAAGTTCATCTTGTAATCATTACCACAATCATCTTGTAATCATCATCATGATCATCTCGTAATCATCACCTTCACCGTCATCCTTTTCATCTTCCTGCTCATTATTCTCATATTGAATTCAATTGAATCTGATTAAGCTCATTATGCTGATTATTTGATCCATTCCCTTTGTGCAGTCTCCATATTGTGCTTGCTAAATAGCCATGCTTTCTTAGCATCGTTGGTTATATAATAATGCTTATATACATATGCTAGGTAATTGTTTTAATAGATTTGCGCGTGTGTGTGTGCGTGTGTGTGTGGATGTGCTGGTTTGTATGCTCACATGTTCCTTTGTCCAGATATCTTGTGTTTTTTAATCTTTTTAGTATT